GGGCGGGGCTGGGCAGAGCGGGGCTGGCAGGACTGGGGGAGGGGGCAGGCAGAGCGTCTCTGTGGAGGACCCAGTCTCCATGGCCTCAGGACATGGTCCCTGACTGTGCCCTAGCCCGCTTTTTTTAAACTCCGTTTTTTGTTTGTTTGTTTGTTTTTAGACCCCTGGATAACTTTTTTTTGTTTGTTTGTTTTTTTGTCAAAGGGGTCTGGGCAGAGCGGGGCTGGCAGGACTGGGGGAGGGGGCAGGCAGAGCGTCTCTGTGGAGGACCCAGTCTCCATGGCCTCAGGACATGGTCCCTGACTGTGCCCTAGCCCGCTTTTTTTAAACTCCGTTTTTTGTTTGTTTGTTTGTTTTTAGACCCCTGGATAACTTTTTTTTGTTTGTTTGTTTTTTTGTCAAAGGGGTTTGAGACAGGGCAAGGGGCATGTGCGTGATCGTGTGGACACGCCCTATGAGTAGAAAATATTATTAAAGCTGTAATTTTTACATCCCCATAGTGTTTTGTAGTAGTGTCCTTTGTGAACATAGGCTTCCCTTTCACCAGCTCTGTTCAGAACATTTGACTGAATTAAATTTTTAAGTATTAGATAACTTTAGTCATTTTAAAATGCATGAGAAATATTTTAAAGCAGGGGTAGCCAATCTGTGGCATGGCAGACTAAGGAAAGGATGGGTACTGCAGTGGCAGATAAGTCAAGGACAGAAAGCAGAGCATCAAATTAGGCAGGGAGCAAAGGCAGAAAGAAGAGCTGGAGCTTTGGCAGGGAGCAGAAAATAGAGTATTAGATCAGGTATAGGGAGGGGGAAAGGGATTGGAGTGGTATTCAGGGAGGATGCCAGGCTAATTTGTGGCACACCTGCCAAAAAGGTTACACCTCCTCCCTCTTTGAAAATGTTGTTCTACTCTAAACATTGCTTTTGATGAAGGTTTTTGTCAATCAGTTGTTCTTCATCGGTCACTACTTCTGTCCTCTTTAAACTGGAAGTTTTTCTTCATATCTTAGAGTAAGCTCATGGGTTTTACCAAAACCAAAAGGGACCATCATACAGGAGGTCAGACTCGATGATCATCATGCAGGCCAGAGAATCTCACCTGGTAATTTCTGCATCAAACCCAAAGTTCAGTTTGATGTGTAATATATCTTTAGCTAAAGTACTAGACTGCTAGTAATGGAGAATCTGCTACAACTTCAAGCAAGTTGTGCAGATGTCCAGCTACCTTTGCTCTTCAATCTTGTGTTTTATTTTCAGCAGAAATTTGGCTAGTTTCAGCTTCCATCTGTTGGTTCCATTATGTCCTTTTGTGCTTTCTTAGTATCAGCAATGTCTTCCTTACTTAGGTTTCAATTAGATCATAAATACCAATCCTTTATGATCACATTTGTTTTTATGATCAAATTGTAACCTATCCTTATTTAAGACCTGCTTATCTTTTCAGTGTCTTGCTGTATAGGTCATATTTTCCAGACTGAATCATTCCTGTTGCTCTCTTCTTTCTTGAACTTTTCCAGTGAGGAATCTTGTATTCCTACTGTCTACCTTCTGACTTCAAATAGTTAATGGGCATTGAGAGAGTTATATTCTTAATTTGTATTTAAACATGCTTCATTTGTCCAGAAGATTGTTTTGGTGTGTCGACCTTCATCTGCTACTTGTTATACTTTTCAGTACCTTGCTTTCTCTCATTCTGCCCCATATAATTGAATGGAAGTCCCCCTCAACACAGCAAAACTTAATCTCATCATCTTTTCCATCATTCATTAAAAATCTTCTCTACAGGTTTCCCTTGCTTTTATGTGAGTTCTGTAAGTGCAAATTTGCTCTTATGAGATGACCCTTTTAATGCCAAAATTCGTTATATGCAAGGTAAATTCACTCTTATGCGACTGATGTGGTGGAAACCCACAGTCAGCTGCTTTGTGTGATGCATTATGGGAGTGACATGCACCAAAATACAATCTCCTGTGTGTATCTGTGCTCCTCGCTCATTGTCTGCGACATGCGTTTCTGTAGTTGCCATCCCCATTATGACAGTGCCGTGTGTTTGTGTGTACTGTCTGTAGTTGGCGAGTACCAAAATTGTCTTGTAAAAGTGGTAGAAATGAGTCTGGGGGTCAGTACAGTCGGCCTTGGAACGTATCCCTATGTGTTACATTGTAAAGTGGGTTCCCTTTATGTGCGTTTGATTTGTGTGCCATTTTCCAGGAACTCATGTATGGCATAAAGCAAGGGAAACCTGTATTGTGATAGTTACAGGAACCTTAACCAGTGGTAAGGTAGCTCACATTCAAGGTTACTGCCCTTTATATTGGCCAATATTTCTTCTGTTTCCATCCATTCCCCTGGCTGTCTGAATCCATGCGTTTTGTTTCTTGTGTAAGCTGTTTGGCAGAGGCTATCACTTTATTCTGTGTTTGTACAGTGTTGTGCAGGGTAGATTTCTAGTTCATAGTGTTTGGGACACTAGTTATGAACTAATAAAAGTAACATGGACCTACTGCCTTGTTTTAGTCCTCTTCTAATGTGTGTTATCACAGTCAGATGGGTTCAGAGCAGTTCTACTGATTCACTGTAGCTAAATTTCACCAAAACAGCCTATTAAAAGATGAGCCTCTAGTGGTGACATCTAATTTACCAACTATGTTTCTTTTATGAAAATGTATTTGTGCAACTTGATGGATATCCATGTTGCCTCACATTCCAGTCATAGAAATAGTGATAGCTTGTCATTTATGGTGTGAATGTCTTTTTCTCTTCACTTGTAGCAAATCTGTTGGTATCTCTTCTTTCTCTGGATAAGGAGAAAATCTGGATTCTGAATACATTTGTGTTGGTGAGCTAAAGTAGGTTCTTAGCCCAGGCGTAATGGAAAATTATTAATCTAAACTGTGTGTTGTTCTGATGGCTCTCCATGTACACCTTGCACTGACTTCTGCGATACCTGAAGTAAAACAAATAGATTTTGATCTTATAAAATAATATGTTTTGAAAGGTCTTTGGGGTGACGGTTAAAAAAAAGGTGTGAGGTGCAAGAGGTTTGGGTAAGTTAACTAAGCAGGATTCTGATCCAAACAAAATAATTTTAATGTTTGCTACTTCAGATTGTAGGAGCTAATGCTTCATAAAGCTGGAAAGCAGGAATTTGATTTTTGTCTTTCCAGTTGTTTAAATATTTTTGCACCTTCAATTTTATGGTGGAACTTTAAATTTGATGCTGGTTCTCTGGAGTAAGTATGCGTTTGTGTGCACATGGTGGGGTTTTTTTCAGTTTCAGGATTCTTATTATAGCAAGAGCATTAAATATTTTAGGTTTCTGTGCCTTGATTTGTAATTTAATATTTATATTTGCAGTCCTTGGATCACAACATAGTAAAAATGCAATATATTGTAATATGCTTATGAGTGCGTTTCAGTTAATTTTTTTTGTTTAAAAGAGCTTGCAGCTAGAGTGTGGATGGGGAAGTTGAGTTAGCTATACTTCAGTAAAGACCAGGTAAATAAAGGAACTACAACAGGGGCAGGCAATTATTTGGATGCACGGGCCACAAAGACAGTTTTTGGGAACTGCCACCGACAGGTCAGCAGCCTCCCACCCCCTGCACCAGCCTGGAGCCTATGTGCCACTGTCAACAGCGCACAGCTCTGATCCTGGCTCACCCCAACTTTCTAGGCAGCCCAGGCAGTGGCCCCTTCTGGCTGCCACTGCCAGTGGCCTCAGCCCCATGGTACTGGCAGGGACCTGCACACATAGCCCCAACCCTGGCCTTCCCCACACCAGCTGTGGACTTGGCCTGGTGGAGCAGACCAGCTCTGAACCAGATGGAACCTCTGTGCACAGCCCTGACCTGGCCTGCCCTGTGCCTGCTCTGGACTGCCTGGCCATGCTGAGCAGCAGCAGGTAGGCAGAAACTGCTACTGGGCCTGGGGAAAAGTGCTTCCTCGCCCACCCCCACCATTGCCAGGTCCTTCTTGCTGCAACTGCCCAGAGGCCATGCCCAGGCTGCCCTGCCACTCTTCGCTGCCATGACCACCGTCTCTGAGTTGCCCAGTGGGGCAGCAGTGGCAGTGCAGAGGAGTGGCAGGACAGCCCATGTGGAGGCTCCGGGCTGCTGCAGCAAGAAAGACCTGGCAGCGGTGAAGGGGGAGTGGGGGCGCTTTTCCTCCTGTACTGAGCAGTAGCTTTTGCCCAGCTGCTGTTACTGCTCAGCGTGATAAGGTGAGTTTGGAGCAGGTGTGGGGCAGGCCAAGTTGGGACTGTGCGCACAGGTTCTGGCTGGTCTGCTCTGCCAGGCAGTCTGGAGCAGGTGCAGGGTGGGTCAGTGTCAGGGCTGTACAACTGAGTCCCTGCCAGTACCACGGGGCTGGGAGCAGCTGGAAGGAGCCACCATCACCTGGGCTGCCTAGAAAGGCAGGCCAGCTGCAGAGCTGTCTTACCCTGCTGTGTGCCCAGAGTGTTGTAGAATGTGCCATGGGCCAGATTGTGCCCAAAGGGTCTGCCGCAGGCTGTATTTTGCCTACCTGTGGACTACAACCAGGTAAATACATTCTGTCTTGGTGTGTAGAGGTTGTAGGTAAATAATGTGGTAGGTACAGATTTGGCAATGTTAAGTGGGAGAGAGGTGAAGTTACCTTTATTTACCCTGTTTACATTGATACCTGTTTCATATAATAGCATGGTATTATAAACTTGTCCTATAATTAATTGTTTTTGTGTTCTGGATAGGAAAAAGCCCAGAACTTCTGCTGGAAGAATCTGTTTTCCTTTGTGAGAGAGACATGTCCCAGACCTAATTTTTTGTCCCACTGTCAAGAGCATAGAAGTGGCTCCCCATTCGTTTCAGTAAGTCAAACTGTATAATCAGGTTTTTTGGGTTTTTTTGGCAAACTCTCTGCATTTTACTGATAATTAAACTATTTTGGGAAAGCATCCCCATTTGCTCAAAGGAAGATCATGCTATAAAACATGTGCATGACATGGTTTTCTATAGAGAAAGCTTTGTTTTCGGAAGTGTGGGAAACATTGCCCTAGAATGTGAGAGAGAATCAGAAATTAAAGGACAGCACAGAGTGGTAGAGAGGGTTAGGTTCTAAAATACTGATACAAATAAATTGCAGAATAAACTTTCACACCATCAGTGACTTCAATTTTTAATTTTTTTATGGAAAAATAACTTTAAATTAGTTATTTTCCTAGCGGTTTAAAATTATGTTTTTTTTTCTGTCTTCCAACTTGCACAGGTTTTTTTATTAAGCCCTGTTCTATAGCTATGCAGGCAAAACTTTTATATTTTAGGAGCATGAAAAAAGTTACAACCCAAACTAGTGTAACTGTGCCAACACAAGTGCCAGTGTAGCGGTTGTAATAATAGATAAGATTTTTATTATCATTAGGAACAAGTTTAAATTATACCAGCACAATAGTTCTTTACAATGGCAGCCCTACAAAGGCTGTTAGATTGTACAGGTGTTCAAAATACGATCCTGCCTTAAGGTTCATGCAAGTTCTTCAAGCTTAACTTTCTTTCAGTGGGACTCTGTTTTGCTGGGCTTCTTGGGCTTAGACTCTTGATTAGAGGAGAAGGAAAAAATAAGTGGTGGTAGTCTCTCAAAACTCCATGCAATTGTTCCATCCCAAGTGCAAGAGTTTGCATTTGTCCTTGTTGAATCTCATCTGATTGATTAGAGACCATTTCTTTCATCCATTCATGTCATTCTTGCTGTCCACAGATTCGTTAAGTGTGTACTCGGTCTCATCCTCCAGATCATTAATGAAGATATTAAACAATACCAGACTCAGGACAAACGCCTGGGGAACCCCATTTGATACCTGTGCCCAACTGGACATTGAGCTATTCATTGATTCCTTAGTCCCAATAAAACCATTAGAGCTACTCAAATTCAAAAAATTAAATATGGGTATAAGTGATTTTTGAATTGCAGTAGAGGTGCACTGATATATCAGTTGGGTATTGGATTGGCACTGGTAAAAGGGAAATTTACATTACCGGCTGTTGGCTTTTTTTAGTTATTGTAGCCAGAATCCTTTTCTGATAATTATGCCTTCTGGCCGGGGCCTTGGACGCCTGGGTTCCCTCCCACAAGCTGGGATGACCCTGGATACACACCATCCCCTCACTGGTGGGCTGGGCTGGTTTGGAGCGGAGCAGCTGTTGCGGTGTCCTGGGTGCTGGTGTGGCGTTGTGTGGACTGCAGGCGGGGGCCAGGGTGGGTGATGTAAAAGGTGCTGAATGCCGCAGACATGACTAGGGCAAGGGGGTAGGCGGAGCCAAGCATGACTCAACCTGCACCATGACTCAACCCAGTGTTAATATCGGTTATTGAATTGGTATTGGGCAATATGCCTGGTTAATAATTAGCTATTAGTATCAGCCAAGAAAATCTTTATCAGTGCACCCCTAAATTGCAGCCTATCATTTTCTAGTTTGTGGTTATACCAGAAGATTCCAAATGCTAGCTTTCTAGAAACTGGCATGGAGCTTTACATAAAGTAAAGGCCAAAATGTATATTAAATGGCTTTATCTTTATCTAGAGGTCATGATTAACCATGTTGTCAAAATCTGTTTAATTTGTTTCTTACAAAAATGAAAACTAATGCTTATTATGATTTGAACTGTTGCATTCAAGCCAGGATTTCACAGGTGAAGGCTAGTATACTTTAGCTTGAAATCTGCAAAGAAACCCTTTTGTAGTACTGCTTTGCTCATACTTTTTTTTTCTTCTAGATGTCATTTCGCTGCTAATGGGTTTGAGTAAACTAGATGTTTTATATAGACGCCTTCTCCTCACAAAACTTTTCATCCAAGGATGGGGAAAGCCAGAGGACTTGAAAAGGTGACTATGTTTTTGCTATGAAATATTCTGTGTTACAATTAAACAAAATTGTTAAAAAATATTTCACAGATATTAACATACGTTTAACTATTAGACAGATGCAACATTTTAGTTTTAGGTTTCCAGTAATGCATAACACACCACTGGAGTTATTGGACATCAGAAACTTAATATTTGTATTGATTAAAGTGCATTTACCAGTTGAAATTTATTTTGTGTTAAGGAAAGTTTATACATCTGTACAGTCTAAAATAATTAAACAATGCATTCTTTATAAAGGAAGAGTCCAGTTAATGGTAACTTCCACATACTAGTGCAAGACAGCTCTTTTAAAAAGTTGTACTAGCCAAGGGTGATGTCTGTAAAAGTTATGCAAAGGAGACAGCTCTCTTAATTACAACTTTTCTTTTTTGTTTCTCTCTCTCTCTGTGTCTCTCTCAAAAATAAATTAGTTTTCTCATATAAATTTTGAAATGGATAATTTAGGCTAGAGTTGTATCTTGTTTCTCCACTTGGTAAGTGACATTGACTTGTTTAAAAAAGTGATTGTTTTTTTTTACACTTTTTTTTAAATAAGTTAGCTTTTTCCAAAGAGAGATTTTTATCTTGCTTTATGGTGTTTTTAAGTTCCTTAAAACTGTGTATGGAAAACACTTAAATGTAATGGAAATTTCTTTTAATATTAAATATCTGAATTGATTTACTTTAAAACCTTCTCTTAAAAGGGTAGTAATTTGAAGTGAAGTGAAACACTTGGTTGTAAAGTTTAAATAATAAGCAATTGAATGTGTACAAGCTTGTTAACGTTAAGAAAACAGTTTAAATTACTTCAAAAGTTCAAGTTTTAATTTTGTGTATAATTTTGCACTGCAAGCAACTTGGTATATATCATCTTGAATTTAACCTTGAAGATCTGCCTGCAGCAAAGGTTGGTGGGATGTAAATTTTTGTCTGGGACTTCCCAGGAGAGCTTTATAAGTAAACTTTCCAGTTGTTCCACTTCTAGAACCAACTTCCCAGGGAAATGATCGTCACCCCTACTTTGGGCAAATTCAAGAGGAGGTTGGACGATCACCTGTCTGGGGTCTTGTGAACCCAGCACTCATTCCTGCCTGTGGCAGGAGGTCAGGCTAGATGATCTGTTCAGGTCCCTCCTGACCCTAGCTACTATGAAAATGGGGAATTAGATAATGTTGCTGCTTTTTGTGGGTAGGTGGGTATATACAGTGTTAGCTTTAATTTTCCTTTTTGGAGAGCATTGTAAGAAGTGGATTCGTTTTGCAGGAATTTCTTGTGTTGTTAAAAAGATTTGTTTCAAATTTATTTTTAAAGCACCTTGTTTTAAAACATCTTGCTTGCAATCTCTTAATATAGTTTCTACACTGTAATATCAAATACATTTCTGAATAGACTATTTTGATCTTACCAACCCCATTTAAAATGTATATCAGTCACATTTGTGCAGAAGGTTTGGGGATGAGAAAGATTTTTTTGACTAGCTCTACTATTTTAGTTGTAAGCTTCTTGAGACGCTTTGTCTTCTTTTACGTGGTGCCTAGCAAAATAGTTTCTTAATCTGTTGCAACTACTCATACTATTAATTCTGGCATTAATAGTATAAGGTATTTAAAGGGTTTTTGTATTTTCTCTCATACAGTACTCACCTTTCATCCCAAATTGGGTGGTATGTGTTTAGCAGGGATGATTGGGGAGATTGGAGCAGGAATTAAAGCAGGGTGCTTCTCCATCCTTCAGTTTTGGTGTTACTATACAGGTAGCTGAGGGGGTCATTGTCCCAGCTTCACACTTTACAATCATGTCTCCTTTTTAACAGTTATTCCACTAATGAAGCTAATCTTTTTAGGGCAGTTTTGCTGTGTGCTAGGGTTTATGGTCTCCTGTTGGATTTCATAGCTCTTTAGCTCTTTTCAAGATCACAGGTTCACCCAGGGAGGCCAATCTTCAGTAACAGCTGCTGTTTTAGTTGAGTAGGAAAGGGAAGATGAGTATGAGATTAGGCTCTGTCCCTGCAGCTGTAACTATGGTGGGGGAGGGAATCTTCATAATACCTTTCAAACACAGTGTGTTAAATGCATGAAAATATGGTATATTAAGTTCCAAAATGAAGGATTTTTTTTAGTGCGTGTGTTTCTATTTTCTAACTTAGAAACAACATTCAGAGAGAAAAAATCATTGGAAATCAGGAGGTTAAAATTACTTTTAACTTGGCATTCTTGGTGATTTGTTACTTACCTTCAAATTCTTCTTGAATATTAAGACTGAGCTTTCTTCATACTGTGAATAGTTGTTAACAGATTAAAGATACCGGGCTAGATTCAATCCTCATTAAATCCCACTGGAGTAAATGACAGTTTGTTTTTTATATTGGATAGCCATTAACATTGATTTGTAATGGGCAGTCTTGCCAGTATGTAGTCTAAAGGGGTGTTGAAAGTTTTCTGATCTCAACTTTACCTGTCTCATTCTGAATTGAAAAAATATGTACAAAACTTATACAGCAGTTTGGTAGCTCTTGAATTATCCCAAGTGCTATAAATGCCCATTCTTAGTTTACTGAGTATTTCTTAACAGTGAAACTCAAGTATGTGGTTAACACTCACTTTGATTGTTGGTTTGCTGTATAGCATAACTCTTTGAGAATTTTGGCACAGTACCAGCTAACTTAACTTCTCTTCAGCCTTGTCAGTCACTTTCTCTATCTGGTGCAAATAGAATAGAGAAAAAATTCAGAGATGTGCTTGCATGCAGTGGAAAAGATCATCATCCTGAAAGTCAAGGTCACTATGACACAGATGAATGAGGAAAAAAGTTCTTACAAGAGCGTTTATTTTCTACGTGATCTGTGAACACTGTACCACCTTAGTAAAGCAGTTAGTTTTTTTTTTTTACTAAAACAGAACGATGTCTCTTTTCAAAATAATTTTGAATAGTAAACTGAAAAACAGTCAATAACATTGAAATAGCTTTCTACTTTGAGAAAAAGCCACAGAGATGTTTGAAGTTTGGAGGAACTTGCCTCTGAACCACTTAATTGTGAGATGAGGCCAAGACACTGAAACCTTTTTTCAGAGTTTTCCAGTTATAAGTATCTGAAATAAGCATGCAAAATGGTTTGTATTATAATACATCTGCAGTTTTTGCTATCATCCAGATCAAAATTGTATAACAGATTATAAATATCAAATCAAAAAGAAATATTATGCTATGGATTAGAAGTTATATTGTCTTCCTCAGCCCTATTATTACAAGCTCTCTGAAGATTCAGGTACTCATCAGTTACTCATGTAACATGTTCTTATTGTTACAAAGAAACATAGGAACTAAATAATCTTTTATTTGTTGAAGAAAAATGAACTTCTGATGTTCTATGGGTCCTGGAGCTGGGGTCCTCGGTACAAGCCTGGAATGCCCAGACAGTCTTAATCTGAAGTTAGTTTTCATAACAAAAGAAATGAAATCATGCTTAAAATTGTTAAACCCATATGTGTACTTGAAACTAGTTCAGCAGTCTTTCTAAAATAAATTCTTTCAATAAAGTAAACAGATCTAGTTCACGACTGTCTGGGTTGTCCAGAAATGACAAACTGGTAACAGATTAAAAGATTTAGTGCTTTGATATCTTAGTTTAGCCTGTAACGTGTAAGGAAGTACAGCAATTCTGAGATGGGTGTATCTACTGGTGTCATAACATTATTCAGTGATTAGGCCTGACTCTGTCCCATATTTTTCTTTTTAACAGAATATTTGAGTTCAGAAAGATTATTGGAAACCGGGAAAAATGTCAGAAGTTGGTTTCAAGAGATTATCCAGTGTTCATTGACAAGGTATTCAAAAGCAAAGAAGTGCATCTGGAATTAAAAAAAAAAAAAATCTAGATATAATATGGGTGAAAGGAAGTGAGCCTTTAGAAAGCTCTTTTTATTGAAAAGCTACATTTTCTGTTAAGTGAATCTTAGATCTATATATTTATGGAAAGCTATGCTGGGGGGGTTGTCCTAATGCAAGGTACAGTGTGCTGTCAGCTTGAGATCAGAATTCAGGTCATGATTTTAGCTATGAGGTAACAGTTGTGAAGGTAATGTGATGGGAATAAGTAGAAGTTCCTCTTTACTGCTTTTACTGATGCATCTGCTCCTGACTAAGGTGAGGCACTGAGTTCTTTCATGTAAAAGACCAAAGAAACACAAAGGGAAAAAAGTAAGTAAGTAAAAAAAAAAAAAAAAAAAAAAAAAAAAAAAAACTGGATTGGATGTGGAAAAGATACTGCTAGTGCTGTTATGTAGGCATAAACATTTCCTGCCCCCAGGGACTTTTACTATCAATCTGGCAGGGAATAGTATACAAGCAAATAGACATAGTGACTAGTTTGGTTCAGTAAATAAAGGTATGAGTCCACAAATGAGTTACAGCAACATAAGCTAGGAAGCGAGCTTGCAGCACTCTGTGGTAATTGTCCATGTGCATGCTCTTATTGTATGGTAAGTGTAAGATAGCTCTTTCCTCCTGGGGGAAAAAAAACCTACCTTTATACTTACTCCATGCACACTTACCTCTCTGGTAAGTCATTGACCTCAGAGCAGCTCACTGGCTGCAAGGTCACATTCTCTCTTACTTCATGGTGACTTGTTTATGTGCCTGTATCCCTAGAAATATTTAATTGAGGGTATGGATAGAATGAGGGATATGACTGCCATATGGGAATTGTCAAAGGGAAAAAGGAAAGAATGGGGAAAACAGTGGATTAATAGTTGAGCAGTTATACCTGCTCATCAGCAGACTTTAAAAGACCTCACAAAAGAGTTGAGTCTTAAGGGTGAGATTTGACATCTTTATAGCCATTGTCTTATTATTTCAGCTTGAAGTTACCTACCTATCTATCAGAAACATTTTTTTGTGGTGGGGGAGACGCACGCAAATGTCATTATTGAATAATTGAAAAACAGATGGGCAGAACTTAGTGTCTTAAGTTGAATGCTTTTTGTAAATTACCTGATTTTTGTTTTAATAACTGGGTGCTCAAGTGGAAGTGACTTATGATTAGATTTTTTTTTCTTTTATGCTTGTATAACATGATACTTGAAGTGATGATTTAAAAAATATTAGAAGGGTGGGGGGGGGTGTGTGTGTGTGTGTGTGTGTGTGTGTGTGTGTGTCTCAGGCTAGGGCATGGATCTAGGGTTGGGTTATACAGTATATGGGTTAATGAATGCTCAGCCTTCATCATATGAGGTAGATTAAATGCACATCTCATTTCCACTTCTGCCATAGGTTGAAGAGCAATCAGACTGTAAGATCCTTAATGGACACTTCATTTCCCCTTTGGCTCATTATATTCCAGGCATCTTGCCAACAGAATCCATCATAGCAAGGTAAGGAAAGGAAGTAATTCACATTTTATTTCTAAAATTGGTGCCAAAAAGTATGTTATAGAGAACACGGGGAGTAATTCCTATATCCATTCAATTAAACATTTCTTGAAAAATGGTTCCAGCTATAGTCTCTGTAGTAAGTCATCCAAATAGATTTCAAGGTTGAGAGAGAACTGCTTTTGTTCACAAGTCCATCTTTGCAAAAATGGTTTACTTTTTGAATGAGCTTGTTCTAAAATTGGGAGTGATATTAGCAAAAGCCAGCCTGTGCTAAGATGCACAAAAGATGACATTTCTAGAAGTGGAATTGTCAAGCTTTTATAGCATTTTGAGTTTACATACTGAACTAGCCAGTATCTTCCTAAGTAACCACAGCTTAACTATTCATGGTGGAAATGCTGGAAAGCAAAATAATTCAAACAAATATACTAGTTGTTCTCAACCACCTTTTTAGGAACAGAGAAAAAATGTTACTATTTTACAGTAAAAATAATGTTTTGACTAATTTCTCTTAAAATTTTTTTTATAAGTGTATACAGTTCATTGTACATCTAAGATGGAGGGTGCATATTTGCATTTTGTAAAGGCCAGCAGTATATTGTTATCCGGATTGTGGGTGGACTACTGATAAGAGTCAGAAACAGGTCATCCAACCTTTTATTTGCTTGCACCTTTAAAACATGAAAACAAACATTTATCCCAAAATCTATCTGGCTACCTGCAACAGCACAACATAGATTCTCACCTGTACCAGCCGGGGAGACTTGAGAAGTGGGAGGAGTGTAGCATGCAGATAGGCAGCAGGTCTTCTTGAATTTCTGAGTTCTCCAAATTTCTCTCTGGTTCATGCCTAATATTTATAGATGGCTGGTTTTAATATTCTAATAAATGATCTCTGATTGGTTTTATTTACATTTCTTTGTTTCACTGAAACTTTTGGAACTGGACTGAACCAGATCTTTTGTGGACTTGGAAGGTTGTCAGTTGGTTGGGATTTATATCCCTAGGAAAGAGGGTATCTTGTGTCCTTTCCTTCCTCATTGTGGATTACTGTACCTTTTTCTTCTTTACTTTACTTTACGGTCTTCTCTGACAAGGCTGTTTTTATTTTTACAAATGTATATAAGCATTTTAACAAAAATATATCTAGTATAGCAAAATAACATCTGATACGTTTGGTTGCATCAGTAGTATATATGGATTATTTAATGTGTGGTCTTTCATTTTCCCCTTTCCGGCCTTGCCAGCAACAGAACCCGGGCTTGCCAGCTCCCAGCTGGCAGCAGCTACCCAGAGCCAGGGCTGCCTGCAGCTGGGAGCCTCCAAACAGCTGCGCCGGCTCTGGAGCCCCAGCATCAGCTCTGTACCAGTGTGTGTACCTGTGTGTTGGATCGGACAGTGGGAGTGGGGCCTTAGGCAGCACAACCCTGGTCTCTCCCCTGCTCCTGGCACAGAGCTGGTAACTGGGCTCCGGAGCCTGGCGCAGATGTTTGTAGGCAGCCTGGGCTCTGGGCAGCTGCAGCAAGCAGTGGGAAGGCTGCAAACAGCTGTGCGGGGCTCCACAGATCCGGCATCAGCTCCACGCAGGCGGCAACTGCACACGAATAGAGCTGACTCCAGAACTGTGGAGCCTGGCACAGCTGTTTGCAGCCTCCTGGCTGCAACTGACCCTGGCTCTGGGTAGCTGCTGCCAGCCAGGAGCCCAGGCTGCTGCCAGTAGGCAGCTGAGACACTGCAACCCCTGCTGGGAGCTGCCCAGCTCCAGCAGCTACCCAGAGCCTGGGGTAGCTGCTGACAGCCGGAGCCCGGGCTGGGGGGGCGCAGGGCTGGGAGGCACAGGGCTGGGGGGCAAGGGGCACAAGCAGGGCATCCTGCCATGTACCCCCTGCCCTCATTTTGTTTTTCTGGCATGCTGGCACTCTGGCACCTTCCAAGGTAGGCATTGTGGTGTTTTTTTGGCACTCTGGCCAAAAAACGTTGCCTACTCCTGAGTTAGAAGAATTAGACTTCTTGTCAATGCTTTTCAAACTTTGCTTAAATTTTGTTTTGGTTAATTTTGAACAGTTATCTCCCTGCAAAGGAACATAATGCTATCGCATCAATAGCTCCAATGAGCCAATATTATGCGTCTGAGATGCCATGCCTTCTAAAATTGCATTTAAAAAAAAATGCAGTCCCCCCTCCCCCCATACTAACTTTTCCTCCCTCTTCTTGATATAAAAGCATTGCTACTTAAAATTCCTGTCTTGATTGATCCCACAGCTGAACGTGCACTATACGAAGTTTCTGTGGGCTTTCACATACTTGCAAAGTGGCAGCTATTGGTGTCATCTTTTATGTACTCCCTTCTATTCAACTTGTTTAAGAAACCTAGATTTGCTTTCAAGATAACATTTTTTTTATAGATATATAGATATAGATGTATCCTATTGGATTTAGTTTGAAGTTTCTGTTAGGCAGTACTTTAATAGCCCAGATGCATTTCACAGTTTTTGTTTAAGTTAGCTTCTAAGTGACTTTTTTTCCTGGGAAGCAACACTTCTTATTGCAGCAGTGCCCCACCGTGTGGTGAAAGACTCAGGGGCTCAACAGTTGTTTGCTTGAATAGGGCAGATAAGCTGGGGGGAGGGTGTTTAAGGGAAAAAATGGTCTTTTTGGTTGTTTTGTGTTTTTTTGTACCTGGGGGGGGGTGGAATTCAACCAGAGTATAGGGAAGCTGGGGGTATTTTAAACCAGAGTACTGTATAGGGAAGCTGGTTTAAATGCATAGCCTTGTAACTGGGGAAAAAAACGCCCTATGTATTTACCTGGAGTATGCATCTGTTCAAGCTCAACCTGAACAATGTTCATGAACTACAGGAACAGTCTTCATTAAGCTTTTAGAACCTTATTAAAGGTTTTTACTTCCTGTTCTGCTCTGGTATCAGTCTTCAAATGAATAGGGTCTGCTGACTGTTTTACCAGGCCTGAGTCACTTTCACCAATAGGCTGTTAAAATATAAGTACTGTTACATTGCAGAGCAGACAGTGAAGCCAAACACAGCAGTAATGTGGATAATCAATGCCTGCTAGAGAATTCAAGCAACAGGGAAAAAACCAGGACTGATGTATAAGGCTAAGTGAATTATGCACTTGATATAGATGTAAGTGAAGTACTCTAAACCTGTTTTGAAAAGTCTAATTGTATTTTTTTTTTTCTAATTTATCTCTTGCTCATCTTGAATCTTCCATTTTAGCTGGTCTCACTTAAAAGGAAAAGTTTGTTGCTTATGCAATCCACATTTACTTTGTTACACATCTTTGTTGTACATCTTACCTTCTCCACCTAATAAAGTAATCTTGTTTGGAAAATAATCTTTAACTCCTTGTAAGCATGTTACTTTAAAAATAATTGGGTTTTTTTTGTGTGTTCTTCATTGGATTAATAGAATATGAGGATCAGTAGACTGATAATTGTTTGCTAGAAAATGTTATGGACATGTTTATTCTTTTTCAGTATAGTGGTCACTTGGACGTTTCATTTAATTGGTGCGTTTATCCTGATGGATGAAATGGAATTTTTTTTCTAGGTTTCAGTTCATAATGCCCAAGAAATGGAATGGCAATTACAGACCTGTGTGCATTCATTTAGCAGGCACTGGAGATCACGTAAGTACAGAAGACTTAATTTTTGCACACTACTTGTATCACATTCATTTTTTACTTTGATTCCTCTTATCCTCTTTAGTACTACTGGAGAAGACGCACACTAATGGCCCGTCCAATGATCAAAGAGGCCTGTATAGCTTCTCTGTTGTTAGAAAATCCTTATTATATCCTTTTGTTTAGAGCAAAACACTTCAATGCTTTTCAAAATGATAACCAAGGGGGGATTATAATGCCTTATCTTTTTGATGCAGGCTGCGTACATCAATTGTCAGATATACAACTGTTGACTATATAAGTACACCTTGGGGAACTATGGAATTATGTGCCTGTGCAACTTTGTGCATAAAAGGCATGCCTGCACATAATTGCATAATTTTACATAATTTGAACTCCAACTGGTAGCTCCATGATGTGGAGGCACAGAGCTGCGTGACTAGCCACCTGATAAGTGGGGAGGGGAGCTCCTGCCTCCAAGAGTGGGGTGGGCTTGGGGTTTGTGGGGTTGGTATTGGCCATGTGCCATTGGGTCAGGTGTGCTCCATGCCTCCGCGTGGGACTTCCAGCACTCTAGCAGGAAGCCGCATGCGGAGGCAAACAGGAGCTCACCTGACCTGATGGTGCTAGACTCCATGTCTCCATGTGCGGTTTCCCACCGGAGTGCTGGAAGTCGTATGTGGAGAGCTGGCCCAGCCTAATGGCGTGTGGACTGGAAACCATGCACCACTGGGCCAGGTGGGAAGCCACACATGGAGGCACAGAACTGCATGCCATCGGGCCGGGCAGGCTCCTGTTTGCCTCTGTGTGCAAGTTTCTGCTGGAGTAGTGCTGAAAGCCCCATGCGGAGGTGTGGAGCCCACCCAACCTGATGATGCACGGCTCCCTACCTTCATGTATGGCTTCTTGCCCAGTCCCAGATGGCGTGCGGCTCCTGGTCTATGCACCATTGGGGCAGGCTTGTCCTACACATGGGGCTTCTAGCAGGAAAACTAAAAATACTTCACTGATGAGGATGCAGAAGGATCAGTATCAGACAAGTACTGCGATAAAGCAGAGAAACTGAAAAATGATATTTATATATTTTTTTTTAAAATCCAGATGAGCAACGTTTTGTGAGTCAGTCTTACATATCGCCCAAATAGTCTTCCATGGCTCTATGCTTACTGACAATATTTTGGTTGGTAAACTAGTTTGCTTCTTATGTACTTGTCTGATACTGGTCCCCTCTGCATCCTCATCAGTGAAGTACCTAACGGACTTTACCTCCTAGCCCTGGTGGATTGAAAGCTGTACATATGTTCCTTTTGGCTTGGCTAATAAAATCTACTTTTGGAGGGGAAGGTGTTGCTTGGCATGCCTTCCCACTTCATGTATCTAAACTGTTGTACACCAGATGCCTTTGTTAATTTTGACTTGTTTTATCACTATATGCTCTTTCATGTTTTCTAGAGTTCTCATTCACTCTTGGAAAACTGCCCCCAAACACCGTCATCTTGTTTCACTCAAAAGAATTTCA